GACAACGTCAGGATCCCGTGTTCCTCTTTCCCGGACACATGGACATCAGGGGACTCTGGAATGGGATAACGGTGAGATCCATCCTTGGAATCCCCATGGGAATAGGATTGGAGGGAGATCCATCCACAGAATTCCCATTGGAATCTGGCAACGGTGGGATCCATCTATGGAATTCCCATGGGAGTTGGATGACTCAGATTCATCCACAGAATTCCCATGGGAACTCCCGTGTTCCTCAGTTCCACCCTCCCAAATCCCACATTCCTTTATCCCACATTCCCATGGGAATTCTGTCTCCCTCACCTTTGCGCTCCAGCGCCTCCCGCCCGTATCCGACATATTTCCGGAGCCATTCCGGACAGATGTTCTCCAGGTAATTTGTCCAATCGTCCACCATGATCCCATCAGATTCCCATTTCCTCTTGGTGATCTGGGCAGCTCCATCGGCCGCCACGAAGCTCCCGGATCCCAGCTCGAAGGAGATGAAATCCCGCCCGTCGTATCCTTGCCGATAGGATCCACGGACGCTCCCGTCGGACAGGAGGTCACAGCCATGAATCCGCTGCCACGTGTGGAGACCTGGGGGGTGGCATCGGATCCATGGAGACCCTGGAATTGTGTCCCAGACCCACTGAGCCCCATTCCAGCCCTGTGGAGCCCCAGAGTCTGATGGAGATCCACAGAGTGTCATTCCGGCCCCTTGGAGCCCCATGGATCCCATTCCAGCTTCACAGATCCCCTCATTCCCTGGCTTCCTCCACTCACCCCCACTCCAGTTGTACCGATCCCGCCCTACATTCAGGTTGTGGGCAGCAACGAGCTGGTTCCCCTGAACGATCTGGGTCTGTCCATCCCAATATCCCGGTTCGGCTCCGGCCGCCATCCACGGCGTCAGCGGCTCCATCCGGCCCCGCTCGCTGTCGTAGCGCTCAAAGGGGATCCCGTCCAAGTATCCCAATACCATGTATTGAGGGATCCCCGGGCTGGGCTCCGTCACTGCCACAGTCAGGTAACGCAGGGAGTGGAGA